GTAGTTGATATTCTGCTGGTGGAACTATTTATGCAGGAGTCTATATTGGCTCTCAGCTTCGGTAACAAGGTTTCTAGATACATTTGTTCGGGTGGAACCGGTCAGGTTGTAAGAATATGGGATTTGCAGAGAAAGCGGTGTATCAAATGGTTGAGGGGTCACTCTAGTACAATTACGGGTGCAATGTACAATTGCAAAGATGAGCACTTGGCTTCCATCAGTCTTAATGGGAACCTCATACTTCACAACCTTGCATCTGGTACAAGGACTACTGAACTCAAGGACCCCAATCAACAGGTTGTCTTCTCGTTGCATCCTTCCGCTGATTATTACCATGGTCTTTGTGGCTTTGAATTCTTAGTTTCCAAACTAATTGGTTGTTTGCTGGTTTTTAAGACCAGGTGCTAAGAGTGCTTGACTATTCCCGGATTAGTCGACACCTTCTTGTGACAGCAGGTGATGACGGGTCTGTACATTTGTGGGACACAACCGCTCGTAGCCCAAAGGTTTGCAGCATGTTTAATCAAATATTGATGCTGTGCTGCGTTTTCTTGGGCTATTGTGTTTGCATTCCCATTTTTAAATTTTATTCCCAGTTCATATATGGAAAACAGGCATATCCATTAATTACATTTCCTTATTTTTTACAACTTTCAACCCCAAACCCAAAGAGAGCATTGATCTTGCCCTTTGATAGCAGTAGCGGTCAAATATTATCCCTTTGCTAACTTCCTTGTTTATCACTTGCCTTATTAATCTAGGCAGAGTTGTTAAATTGAAAAATACTCTATCACTTACCCATTTAGTCTTGTTTCTCTTAGTTTGTGTTTTACTTGTAATTGAATTGGTTTGTTTGTTTCTTCTTTTATTCCCTTTTTCGAACTCCTTTACGCAGGTTTCTTGGCTGAAGCAGCATTCTGCACCAGCTGCTGGTATCAGTTTCTCTCCATCTAATGACAAGGTCTCATAAGTACATGTAACTTTACATTTATAGTCGATTATGTTTATAAGACAAGAAGGCTATTTGACCATGTGCTACTAAATTGTGAGGATTTTTTTAAGGTCAGAATATGTAGAGAGGTATTAATTAAGCCTTCTGATTTTCAATATATTTTCCTCTTGATAGATGATAGCTACCGTTGGGCTTGATAAGAAGTTGTATACTTACGACTCAGGGTCGAGACAACCTTCACATTGTATTTCCTATAAAGCACCTTTCTCTTCATTGGCATTTAGAGATGATGGTTGGGTATTGGCAGCTGGAACAAGCAGTGGTGATGTGGTGTTCTACGATGTCCGTGGTAAACCAGAGCCTTTCACTGGTATTCGTGCTTATAGTAGTTCAGAGGTAGCTCTCTCTCTCTCTCTCTCTCTCTCTCTCTCTCTGCACTGTTCCTTGAAACATTGAATTTTGGAAAAACTTGTGTTGTCTCTAATATTTTTGAATTTCCTATCCTTTGTAAATTCCAAATTATGTAACACTATAGGTGTCGTTTCCATCACTAAGTATCAAGATACCTCGTCATGAGGATTAGGGATATACATGGTCGGACATATCCTCCTTATGGTCTGGCTCAAACTTTCGATCATCCCTGGTTAGGTAGATTTATCACGAGGATGTTCTCATGGGGACCCACAATAGGGTGTTTAGCTTTTAACAAGCAGTCTACATGAATGACACAGTTGGGTGTTTAACTTTGTTTGTACTAATCGTTTACAGTATTCATCAGGCTGTTACAAGTCTATGCTGGCAAAGGTCAAAACCTGTCATTGTAAACGAAAGCAATTGTACTGTTGAGACTGCTCTTTTAGGAGATGCTGTTGAAGATTCAATCCTTATGCCTGACCAACTTCCTTCTGTGACTTCATCAAGTCTTCCTCCATCCATGGTAGTATCTAGTTCTCGAAATCCAGGCCGTTCAAGTTCATCTGCCGAGACATCAGCAGCTGGCAATGGATTAACATCAAGCACACTTTGTGTATCTACGACAGAGGATACACCACAACGAGACCATTTGTGGCCTGGTAGAACATTGCGTAGGTTACATCCTCCTCGATCTACTTATAACTTCAAGGATGATATGGAGGTGTTCTCCCCTCTTGTGGATGTTCATCCAATCACACCTACACTTGACAAGCTGTGGGATGATGACAAATCAAAGAAGGATAATTTGTTTTCAGATAAGAAACCTTCGTCACTTTTATTTCCTTCGTCCGGTGGGAGATTCCCTTTTGCAGAAGATGGGCCCACTGATCATCCAATATTTGACTGGAAACCCAGTTCAACATCTAAACAGGTCTCACTTATCCATATCTCTAATTTTTTTTGGATGAATGCTTAATGTGAAATGTTCCATCTTATGATTATAAAGAGCAACCTTGTATGTAAACCTGGAATTTCTCATCGTTTATGCTGTTTTTGTAAGTATAACTATTTTAATCTTTTTCACATTTGCTTTTTCGACCAACAAATTTTCTTACCATTATGATTTCTGGACTAGCACTAGTCTTTATTGTTCTATAAATGGTAAACCAAATGAAATGTTAGATCGATACGTAACCATGTATGCTAGATTGTAGTTACTCCTATGTAAGTTGTAAGCTAAGCAAAGTGATTTTGCTATTTGTTGGGGTGGGGGTGTTAAATTTCTTGATGTCTTTATTACGTATTCAATTGTTCTGAATGATCATGTTTGTTCCTTGGTGCAGGATGACATAAAATCGACATTTGCACTATTAGAATCAACCCCTGCTCCATCTTCCAAGAGTGAAGACTCATCCATCACCCCTCCAGAAGCTTGGGGTGGTGAGAGATTTTCTGATAAGTTTCGCCAGCCAACCACTTTTCTATCTCGCGTTGGGACATCAGCTCAGACATCAGGATCAACTTTATCTGGACTGCCCGATATGTCTTTAACAGAAAACTTGCAAAGTTTGCGCACCAAAGGTTTGTCTTCCATTCAGGAGACTTCATTTGGATTTCCCGAACACATTTCCTCGAGTGCAATGCCTATGTCCCCTGGTAACAAAGGCCTCTTGGGACAGCCTAACCTTGATGCACCAACATCTTTGACCTTTTCTCGGAGATTCTCTACTTATGCAGAGAGGATAAGCACTACATCTAACTTCAATGATCGAACATCTCTAGCAGTTAGTTCACCGAAAACAAAGAAAACAGGAGCCGAAGGAAGAGAAGAATTGTTGAATAGCTTCTTGTCAAAGTCAGATGCATCAACTGCCACAGAATTAGGGGCTCTTCCAGCAATTAACGTATGGGTGACAGATTTGTTGGATAAGTCGTCTTCTTTGATTTGGTCCGACTTACCATTTAAATATGCTCCTTCTGAATAAAAAAAGGAAACTAAAACATTAGAGCATGAATTGTTGTTTTAATGATTTTGCTCATATACATGCTTTCACCTTTTGTGTTATATAACAAGTGTTTCCCACTTGAAATGGTTGCTCTTGATTTTACGCTGTTATTCAAATGGGAAACCAGTGATGAAATTTGTTAGGAGAAGCCTCCACAGATGTTTATCATGTTCCCCTTTTCTGTCATACTGGGTTATATTAGTTAACTCGACGATGATGATTGTGACAGGGAGGAAGCTTGCATCTCCAAAATGCGCCCCAACAAGATGCACAGCAGGGAAGCTCCTTTACATTTCAGATTTTTCAACGCACTCTAGAAGAAACTCTGGATTCTTTTCAGAAATCCATACACGAAGATATGAGGAACCTTCATATAGAAATTTTAAGGCAATTCCATATGCAAGAGGTACGAATCTTCTCTCTTGTTGCTTTCATTTTCGTTTAGTTCCTCATGCATTTTCTGGAATCGTTACACAGATGGAAATGTCAAATGTGATGAGGGCAATGCTGGAAAACCAAGCTGAGCTGATGAAAGAAGTTAAGTCTCTCCGGAAAGAAAACCAGCAGCTCCGGCAATTGCTTTGAGCATCGGTGACATTTGTTATTGTTTTGATTTTTTTTTTTTTTTGTGGATTTGGAATATGCATGTTGTTTCAGTGTCATAATTTGCTCTCCATCAGTCGGTGTTCGTTCTATAGGTTGGCTAGAATTGCTTCTCCTGGCCGGGGGCGGGGGCTAAAGAAAAGGTAGAAATGCAAGTGCAATAGGAAGTAGAGTTTGTGAGCATATGTACAGAATGATGATTTCCTGCTAATGAACGAAGGCTTTGATTCGGGTGAAATTTACAAGCATTACGATGTTTCAGCTTTTACCTGGTTTTATTTGTTCATTTTTCCTTTTACCTGTTCCCATCTTGGACTGTCTCTTCTGCTCCACTCCTACTGTTATATGACCGTGCTCGTGCTCGCCCACAATATCCGTTGGACGTGCTTTCGGGGTAGAAGATCCTTCCTTGCATCGAGTATCGAAGAAGGTATAGCATCGTAGTCCCAATGGACGAGTGCGGTAATGTTGGAAGTCTGCAGCACTCGGGAGGAACAGATGATAAAGATCGCTTCTTGTTGAGAGCTTGGCCTAGGCAGCTTGGAACTTGCATTCATGCTTTGAAGCGTTAAGAGTCCGTTTGGAAGTGAATAATCGAAGAGCCATAATCGCTTCTCGAAGAAGCACATCCGCGGAAGTGGTTATGGCCACTTTCACAATTACTTCTAAACGAGCTCTAAGTCGATTAGGTTACGAGGGAACTTCAAGGGATAATTTACTTATTTGCTTTTCTAATTTTTTTCGTTCACAATTACTTCTAAACGAGCTCTAAGTCGATTAGGTTACGAGGGAACTTCAAGGGATAATTTACTTATTTGCTTTTCTAATTTTTTTCGTTTTTCATTGTTCTTCTAACTTTTAAATAAAATATTAAATAAATTGAGATATTCTTTTAATTTTTACATTATTAATAATTAAATGTAGGCTCCGCGCTTACCGCATCACATTAACGGCCAATTTGACAGACTGATAACGTTTGTACGACATTAATATGAAATTGTGAACCGTTGTATGAAACTGCAAAAAAATTGAAAGGCGTACGAATTTGAAATTGAACGAAAAGTGAGGGGGTAATTTTGCCCTATTCTCTTGCATACAAAAATCTGTAGACAGAATTGAAAAGTGTGGTTATAGCAATACAGAAAAGGGAGGGGGGGGGTGGAAACATCCCCACCCCAAAAAAATGCTGGAAAAAGTTTGTGTCATTGTCTTGATTGAACTGTAGTCACTAAGAAATGCCGACCCGAAATCTATGGCAGTTGACAACATACAACATGTAGCAGAAGCACGTCAGGGCAGGCGGCACTGAACCATCTCGGAGTTGTTGGAAATTAGAACGGTTTCACGGCTCTTCCCATGACTCCATGAATACAGAACATCTTGCAGTTCGAAGGACTTTGCAAATTTAGGGTTTCAGCTTCGTACTACGCCTCACTTCTTGATTAATCTCAACACGTCGCCAACAAGATGTAACGAACCAGTTACAAGGACCTGGTATATAAACCTTTGGTTCCATGAAAATGAAAGATAATAAATTAAATCTCCCAAAAATTAAAAAACAAGATTACCTGAAAACGAACGGATTTACTTTGTCGGACAGTGTCCCTGAGCCATTGTATAGCTGATGGGAGAGAGGGGAAAACTGCACTATTTTCGCAACTTTTGACAGCGATCCCCTTATCATCTGTCAGTTCTTCACAAACCGTGGCTGCACTATTGTCAGCGCCTCCTATTAAAGTAAAAAAAATAGAAACACTTCCAACTGAGAAATACAGTGCACCCCTGAATTATATGGTACACATACACATATATGCTGTCTGAAGAACAAGTTAACTTAATTGGAATTTTATGTTACAAGTCACATACCTTTGTTACCCTGCATTAGATTTTCCCATACTTTTTGAAGAGCAAACTGCCACGACAAATCCACTTGAGAATCAGTTGGAGGTAAGGAATGTGAACCGACCTTGTAATACACTGATGTGTTTGGTACAAACAGAGCCTTCTTGAAGTAGACACCTAAAATATCAACCAAAATCTCATAAGTTTCTTTGAAACATACTTTGAGAAAGTTTCTGACACCATTCAAGAGTGAAATTATCGATACTGTAGGATCACCACCATGAAACTTGAAGGAAGTTGAGGTACCACCCTAAAACCAATTGGTAATAGGGTAGTGGCCTAATTCCTTTTAAGTCTCTCTTAACTTTCCAATGTCGGATCCTCCCAAAATTCATTGCAGATCTAAATTCCATGCGTTTCAATTTTCAATCAATAATGATTTTTAACCTATAAATTCCTTTTAGATCATTAAAACTTACTGGATGTAAATTCAGAAGATTACATCAAATAATGCTTATACTCACCATGACTAGCACATGTTTTCATCAGATTCGGAAGAAGCAACTGAGGATCCCTCACTGACATACAATTAAACAGCAGTATCTGCAAGTAATTATCCAAATTTTTCTCAGTAACAGCCAGGGAAAATGAAGATCTCCAAGGCTTGTAAAATAAAGGATCTACCTGTTCCGAATTCTTCCCAACTTTTTCAACAGGGTGCCTCTGTACCGGATCATGTGATGATCCAGAAGTACTGGGTGGCTGAACAGAAAGAGAAAACCATCTTGCGCATATTTCCATGCTTTCTGGGCTATGTGCACCGTCCAAATAAAACACAAGATCTTCAGGGCTTTCACTGTTAATAAAGCGATCAGGGACTATTTGAGCCCGTCCTTGTAAACTGACTGTAGCGGTTAGTCCTTTTATGAACTGCTCCGGCAGAGAGGTCTATTCCATTTGGATATGTATATAAATCAATCAACATAGAAATCAAGAATAAAACAGAGAATTGATTGTTCATAGAACTTACAGTATGTTCTGGGTATTCAAGGTGACCAGTCCTCTGGAGCCATGTAGAGGACAGTGCAATAGCAAGACCAGCATTAACATATTGGTGCTCGCCTGCAAGCCCAAGTTTTATGCCATTCAGCATATCGGGATCCAGCGGTTGTACCAGTTGAAGGGGAACCTGGAACCAGCATAATTTCTCAGTTCATTAAAGACATTCTTCTTGTTTTTTATTTATCTCAAAACAAAGTAACTGCGTCAATAATGATTTTATTTATATTTCTTTACAAGAACTTCAAAACCAAATTCAAAATAGCTAAATTTGACTTGGCATAGTGACTCCTCAAATTGTTGAAATATTATTTGCTTAATAGATGGAAGGTAAATCCCTAGAATATAGCCAAACTCCTTATACGTGTAGGCCAAATAGAACGGCATCTCTCAATTGCAAAAGGGCCTCAAGTTCCTTCGAACATGGCAGCTATCACTTGGCAACTTTGTAGTCCATAATGAACCTAAATTTAGAATCCCAGGACTTCCGATAATCAAAAGTATCCTAGGATTGCAGAAGAATGGAAGCTGAGGCTTAAGCAGCAAAGGATGCCAGTGAAGATTTAAGAGCATGTCAGTACTTAAAGGTGTTCTTAAAACAAATACGCGCACAGAACCTGTCTCAAAACTTTGATTTAATTATCTGTTTGTTAGGAATTCATCTACTTACTAGATGACCGCATGTACATTACAGTTTCTAGAGAGACGTCAAATTTCTTTCATTCTGTATCATGCATTTTCAAGTTCTGAGGTAAACAAAATCAATGAAGGGAACATCTTGCAACTTACATCCAACTGAGAAGCCTTCTCTTCCAGTACACGCATTGCTTCATCAGGTTGAGGTACAGTCAAGGCAGGAACCCTAGACTGAATTGAAAGAAGAAGAAAAATGGGCAGTAACGGAAGTGAGTGTAAATTCTGTTAGACATATGGCCAATCATCATATGCATTTAGAAAATGTAATTTAAGGAAAACCTTGAAGATTCCAGCCTTCTCCCCAGCAATTGCTCCCAGAGTATTTCCTATTTATAGTATCCAGCAAAGAAAACAAAAGCAATCATGAGTATTAGACATATGTGGGCGTGGGTATCAATGTTCGCATGTCGTGGCGCCAGATTGACAATCTGGACCACACATTCAAACAATTATCCACTTGATCAATGGCCCAAATTAACAGTTTGACACCATAACATGCCAAATTGTAATTGTATCACATTGCAAATACAGAACATTTGCAAATGTTCTATTTGTATTTTCAATTAAATGCCTCAATTACTCACATGTAATTACATAGGTTTGAGAAAACACTAACCAAGAATCTCCATGTGGTCATATCCAAGGGAAGATATACCACAGACAACAGGCGCCTGAACCTGAAATGTTAATGCATCTATACTTGGTTATTTCCAAAGCAATCAAAATAATGGATATCGTACTCAAATACCCATTTCACATACCACATTTGTTGCATCAAACCTTCCGCCTAACCCTACCTCCAATATAGCAACATCTACCTGCATAGTAGATTAAAATAAAAGCAACATTACTGATTCACATCATCGATATCAATAACATTTCTGGAGAGGAAGGATGTTATATGGAAGCAATTAAGAAGATATGCATCAAACCTGTTCTGCTGCGAATATCTTAAAGGCAAGCAAGGCAAGGAAGCGAAAGTAGGTGGGCATTGGTATATAGTCAGTAGATTTTTCCTGCGTTTGAAATACACGGTCACATTTGACATAACCATCATGATTAAACAAATTAGGCAAAAGCATTGAACTAAAAAAGTTCAGGATTCAAGAATGGACAATCTTTTGCATTGATCAGTATACAGCAGAACGAAAACGTGCTAATTCAAAAATACGGCAAACAAAAGATTAAAAATATCACACATGGATTACCTTAAGTCTCTCAAAACACCACCAGAAATATGCTAAAAATTTCTCTTCACTGATGTCCAAACTGCATCATTCGACGAAAACAAGAAAAGGTAACATTACAAGAAACTTACTTGTTAACATAGATGTTAGATATAAAACTACTTAGCCTATACAAAATAGAAAAGCTCACCCATCCAACCGGAATCTTTCTCGAACATCAATGAGATGAGGAGACGTGAAAAGTCCAGTGCGAAAGCCGCAATGGCGTAATATCGACTCTGTGAAGGTGCAGGTGGATCCCTTTCCAATACCCAAAAACAGTAAAACAGCAATCAGTCCCACATCATACAGAAACAAGCAACCAAGGCCAGTGTATACATACAGAATCACACTACTAAAAATAAAGTTTGTAACTTCAAATATATTAACAATAAAGGGTAGCGATTTTAATACTTTTCTTTAACCGTCGGCACTTTAAACCGAATATTTTATAATTTTTTCAGCACTCGCACGCAGTGGCGGGTCCAGAATTTTTTTCATTGGGACATTTCATCGAACATGTACATGTTGAAGTTCAATTAGTAAAATTGTGTAAATACCTTGCCTTTGGTGCCGGCAACGTGAATAATCTTCATCCGTTCAATTGGCTCCTCCAACTCCAGGATCTGCATATTGTTACATAAACACCGTTAATTAATAATTACTTGAATTTGCACACATGAGCTCAAATACGACGTCGTTGAGTTAGTGAATAAGGCTCTGTAGTTTTTGACTTTGAGATAGTCGAAGAGGAGGTCGAAGCGGTCGCCCTTGTTGCTCTTATCGGCACGACTGCGTTTTGTGATCAAGGAGGATAGAGCGTCCAGTGCCTTCTCGTACGGAGTCGCCGGAGGCGGTGACGAGGAGCCATCGCCACCTACAAACAAACCAAAACAAAATGAATAGATAGAAGGGAGGAGGAGGTGGTGGTGGTGGTGGCGGCGGGGATTGTATCGTAACTTTGTAGTATTACCTGATTCCGCCATGGCGAGTGGAGTTGGCAGTTCAGATCTGAATCGAACGAACAGTTGGACTGAGATCAAGGAATTGGGGTTGAAACTTAAAAGGTTGTATACAAAGACACGGTGACGTCCGTGGTGATTAGCAAACCAACAAAACCACTTCTTCAGTCCGCTACGTCGGATTCTTTAATTTAATTTATTTTATTTTATGTAATGGCTGAGGCTGCTAATCACGGATGAGCATCCTCTTCGAGGTTTTTAAACAATCTCATATCTTAATCATTTATCGTATATTGTGTGACCAGCTATCGTCAGATACTATTTAAGTTTAATTTTAAATAAAAAAATTCAAATGATTTCTAATTGTACTATATACGATGAATAACTAAAATGTAAATATTCTTAAAATCCCGACATGTGGATCCGGATGGAATCCAAATCTTCTAAACACTATATCATTAATATAGTTTAATGGACTCTCTATCATGAGAGATTTTTCAGTGCGACTGTCAGACAAGATGGTACATCACATATCGTCAGATACTATTTAAGTTTAATTTTAAATAAAAAAATTCAATTGACTTCTAATTGTACTATATACGATGAATAACTAAAATGTAAATATTCTTAAAATCCCGACATGTGGATCCGGATGGAATCCAAATCTTCTAAACACTATATCATTAATATAGTTTAATGGACTCTCTATCATGAGAGATTTTTCAGTGTGACTGTCAGACAAGATGGTACACCACATATCCTTATATAAATAGTGGGTTATATGTATTAAAAGGTTAATAACTTAAAAATTAAAATTTTCCACCACTAACATAAAAACACGTGGTGCACCATCCGTATTCCCGTCACAACTAAAAATTTCTCATCTATCGTGATATGCCCAATCTTCATTGAACACCATATCATAATTAGTGATTACTACATAATGCTATATTGTTCCGTATTAAAAAGTTAGCTTGTTATATTAACACCTCATATATTGTTAAATGCACCTCACATACTTAATACACCTTACATTTGCTTTTTTAATTAAAATGTATTTTAATACACCTTACATACTTTCCCACAATACCCTTACACCCCAACTCTCAACATACACCTTAAATTCCCCACATAAACCCCACATTTTCTACTTACACCTCACAATCTTCACATCTTAAATGCAAATACATAAGATCAACCACAGATCTTACTTATTTCTTTGAATATGTGGTTTCTATGTTGTTTCTCTTTGCTTTCAAAAAATAAGCATATAGATTTGAGAATCCACCATTAACTGAAAAAAAATATTTTACAATCCGTCACTTTGTAACAAAAAGGGATCTATAAATGCATAGCATAGTGGCCATGCATTAACTTCATGAATTCTATTTTTGGATTGCTTCATACTTTTCCAAAAACTAGCCTACTCTTTGATAATGAAAAAACCATGAAAAAATTCGGCAAAAAGCTACAGAAAACTACTATAATATTCCGCATGAGATTGCCTAAACCTTTTAAAATTTGCTACTTCCCTCCATTGCTTTACAAAATTCTAACAGCATTAGAAGAAATAAAACATTAATATTAGTTTCCTCCCTTACCATTAGAATTGGGTTTCTGTAAAACCATGTTTGCCCAATTTTTTTATTTATTAAAACCACTAATAAATTAAAGCATATATAAAAGATCGTTGTTGTATGAAACAGTTGATCCTAAAAATTATCAAGCCTACGTGGTGCGCATGCCGAGTAACTAATGAGCTTACTACGTCCTTCGTGTTGTGTGCGGGGCGTGCCAACTTGACGGTCAAGCTCAGCCGAGGAGTAAATTTGTTGATGTCGCATTGAGCGCGTTGCTAACTTCTTGATCTTACGACTACAGCCGAGGAAGGAACAAGCCTCGGCCTTCAGGTTTTAGAGTCTGAAGACAAGGCTGCTAGTTATGCGAAGTTCACAAATCGTTGGTGTCAGATTCGGTCACAATGATTATATTCGTAAAAGTATAAGCACGCCAAATCGACACCAAACTATATAGGCACAAGTACTCAAAGCAAATGTGCGTCTTAATCGTAAACGTAGTTCGGCCGTCAGAATGCCGAACTCTAAATCTCATTTGTGAGTATCTAATCATAAAACAACTCTGCGTTTAATGCGCCAAACCCTGTAATACGTAACACCTTACTTCGTCGAGAAGGCTAATGAGATGACCTCTGCCAATAAGGATCCGAAAATCCGTGTCGACCGAGACTTGGATAGATAATCAGTCGGCCTTAATGCAATGCTGTTTATCCAAACTGAAGGTGCTCCGCATCTGGCTGATTCTACCACAACAGTGTTGTTTATCCAAATTGAATGTGTTCGCTAGTTGCCTTCATAGTGTTGGTTATCCAAACTGAAGATGTGTCGGTGAAAAAGAAAATAAATCTCAAGGTTGTTGAGAGGTTTCGAGTAGAGCGAGAGTTTGCACAGGACAGTTTGTGTGTTGAATTGGATGGGGTTTGAATGATGCATCCCCATCTTATTTATAGCAACCACTCTCATCATGGCCGAAACAGAACTATACTCGAATTAGGATTCTTTATCCTAATCTCACCAAAACTCGACCAATCCTACCTCCATTAGGACTTTGAACCAAACTCTTTATCCGGCCACATTCACTTCTCAAATCTCAACATCCTCATCCTATTGAGACTCCTTATTATACTAAGATCCGACCTACCTTATCAATCCGTCTTAGACTAGGGTTCGGCCGATCTTAACCAAGTGGCCCATAACAACTGGAATTCGCAATGGTTCTAGAATTATACTACCGAGCCGAAAACAACTCCTTACTCGGCCCACACCAATATTTTGGGCCCAAACAGAAACATTCTGAGGTATTTAAAAGGTCTGACAGAAAGTAAGCCCAAACTAATCTTAAAAATCTGCAAATTGACAATTGTATGTTATTTGTACAAGTCTAATAAGAATGATTTTTTTTCTTATGATTCTTGTTACAAAGCTACATGTATCTGGCGAATAAGCTAGCATGTCTCATTGTCAAACTTGAGACATCAATTTAACACGGTAAAAGGTAAGAATGGTTTTGAGAGTTGAAGAAGATAATTAATCTTAGGATATACATGTTAAAAATGATTTGGGGTGTATTTAGAGTTTTTTTTAAAATTTTTTTTTAAGATTTTATAAGGTCGAAGATGTCATTCACATTAAGGTATATAACTCAATAAATATTAAATATTAAATTTTAAAATTGGGTGTATTTAAGGTGCTAATAAAAAAACCCTAAAAAGATTTGATATGATACTCGACTCCATTCTTACGTGGCAAAGTTTTTACACTATCAAACCCAACTTATTACAAAAAAATAGCTTAAATCAACTTGAGCTCGGTATCAGGCTCGAATTTTTGAAGTTGTGTAAGAACCAAGCAAACCTAGCTTGAGCTCGGAAAAATTAAACAAACCAAACTTAAGCACAATACGAACCGGTTCCGCTCGGCCCATTTACAGCCATGATTATATTATCTTGATTGGGCCGCCCCCAAATCAAAGCACACATTAATCAACCATCCAAATACAATATAAACCCAATTACCGTGGTCGTGGACCCTAAACTTGCATTAGGCCCAAGGTGAGACCGAACAGCCATATCAAATGGTATGTTCACAAAAATCCTTCCAACAAAAATCCTTCCTTCGTACGTGAGCTCATTCTCTCCTGACGTATCTAACGGTGTGCCGTCTCAGCCACAGCTGATACATCAACGTAGAAAACGCATCGAACGGCTCCGGTGTCTCGTTCCACATAAAGTGCCGACTCGCAGCCACACCCAACTCCCTCATCTTCTCGTGCCGCTCCCAGCACGCGCGCCCCAACACGCGCTTCAGCTCCCTCACTGCCCCTCCACTACGTCTCACGAACACCGCGATCTCCTGCCACCTCAGCACGTCCGAGAACGGCAGGTCCTGGATCGGACGGTCGGTGATCACCACCGGCACGCAACCGAACCGCAGCGCCTCCCCGATCCCCGACACATCGCCTCCTTTGTACTCGAACAAACAGAACTTACTCCCGCCGAGTCTGTCCGCGAAAGTATTGGGATCGGACGGCTTGGATTCGATCAGAAAATCGGGGTCGCTGCTCAATTGGTTGACTAACGTTGACTCCTTGACCCAATCGAACCTGGCGTACCCCAAGATACTAGCCGTGTTGTTCGTCGGCGCGGGAGTGCTCGGGACCGGCGGAAGCGAAATGTCCTTGTGGGGGATAAACTTACCGGCCGGCGTCGGGAAGCACGAGATCTGGACCGAGTTTTTCTTGAGCTCGACGAGATTCCGGTCCGATTCGTACCCGATGCCGGCGCATGAGAGGTAGAAATGGTCGGCGCCGAGGGTGCGGTTCCAGTAGGGAAGCTCGGAGCGGAGGGATCTGATGAGGCGCGCGACGGAGCGCGGGGGGAGGTCGGAAGGGAAGGGGACGAAGAAGAGGTGGGCTTTTTCAGGGTTTTCGGTGGGGAAGTGGCTGTCCTGGAGGCGCGTGTAGAAGAGCGATTGGGATGGGGAGGTGAAGGGGAAGGTGCTGTTTGGGTTGTAGATGAAGATCTTGAAGAATTTGAACATGTTTTGGTAATTTGGGTGGATCGTGGCGGGTGAAAGGTAGGGGGAAGTGAGGGGTTTGGGGTGGGCGGCGAGGACGGAGGAAAGAGAGAATTGGAGGAGTAGGAGGTGGAGTAGGCGGAATATGGAGGTGGTGGACATTTTGGAACAGCCACACAAGGCCTTAGACTGTGAAACCTCACTCTTTCTCACTGGTAAAGCGGGGGGTTGAAGACGAAGAGGAGATGTCAATTGTGAAATGGCGACGAAACGGGGTAACGTTTTGGCAAGGTTGCGTAACCCGACCCGCCAGGAGGCAACGCGTGGTCTATTTGTTTATGATTTCGAACAATGACAGGATGATTAATAAAAGGAAAACTAATTAAAATGATTTGAAAATTTTGAATTTTAACGATAAAGATAGAATAAATGTTAAAATGAATAGTATTAGGCTTGACTTTTTAGTGTAAAAATGTGGTTTTTCGTTAACGTGAACAGAACCGCGGACTTTTCGTAAAAACTCCTTAGGGAACTTTAACGAAAAACTCTCGGTACTGTTCACTTTAACGAAAAACCATATTTTTACACTAAAAAGTC